GCAGCAGTCTGCTAATAACAATGTGTCTAAAAAATACAATTTAAAATAAGTTCTTTGCTAAGTTGTTTAAGTGCCCAGAAAATAATTAAATCCATGTTTTCTGTAAGGGCAAAGTTAGACTGACTAACACAGTCTGATCCATTACATTCAAACAGATCGTAGGTAAAATGTAAAATAAAAACATAGATAAGCTACAGAGGACTACAGAGTCGGGTGATAAGGAACAGTAGGAATGTGAGCCATTAACATTAAAAAATATTCTGTAATCTTATGCATCTTATGCACTTGGAGTTTTACATTTTGAGCATTGAATTTGTTTTTATACTGGACCACGAGGAACAGTTGACAAAACGTCCTTTTCTCAAGAGAAAAGCATAAATTTGTATTTTTTGCTTAACCATGGCTTTAGCCTTTCTCTTCATCAGAATATACTGTAGTGTATTATTAACCTGGTCCTGAATCATTGTGCTAGTCATGCTTTACGATGCCTGGGACAACTTTCTCAGTTTTGCTGTTGGCAAGATCTTATTGCAGATTCCCACCTTGGAACTCATCCCTCTAAATGAGTTACCTGCCTTGTCCTGTTGTCTGAGTTTAATCCAATTCCCACGAGATCTCAAAGATATAATTACTTAAGTGCACCCATCATCTTTCCCCAAGGACACAATTTCAACAAGATTTGTTAAATACTTCTTTGTTAAATAGGTCTCCTTCCTGTTATTTCCTCTGCATTCGTTGGCTTATCAATTAATCAGTCAGTTTCCTCTGGGTGCGTACATGATTATTTAAGTCTTTCCCTCCCCCTTTTAGCACATTTCTAACTTCTGATTTTGACACCACTGATCGCGCGATTCTAAGCCTAGAGAAAGTTTAACTGGACCTGGCATTTCTGCTACTTCACTCAGTTTTATCATATTTCACTGACAGACATTTTAGTATTCATGATAATGATTCGATACCTTCATCTGCTTCATCTCTCTCCTAGGTGGGATACCTCAAAGGTCAATCACTGGACCTTTTCAGTTTTAATTTGAAGTGATATCAGGCCATCTGCTTAACTTTCTTTCCACTGCTATGTGAGAAGCTTTACTTCTCTCTCATGACTGTTTGGCTTCTTCTTCTTTTTTTTGCATGTGGGTTTTTTTACAAAGTGGATTTGTTTAACTTTCCACCATCTCAATCCTGGAAAAACTGACATTGTGGTAATCGGCCACAGCTCATTTACTAAGGCCAGTCACTACATTTTGCTCTTAATAGACCACCTCTGAAAATCTTGACCTCCATTTGAGTTTTAAATCTCATATCACTTTTTGTGAGCGTTTACCTACTTTTTATATTTCCAGATATAATTCAAAATTCTCAGTGTATATTTACATCGTATATGAAATTTCGCTGCAACCCTCTTAACTTGCATTACCTCTATAACCTGTTTATAACCTGGTCCAAAGAGTAGCGGGTGATCCCTTTTTGCCACCAATCATTTCGCACTAAGACAGCTGGAATAGGCTCCAGCCCACATGCAACCCTGAATTGGATAAGCAGAAGAAAACAGATGGATGGATGAAATTCATTTCAAAATCTGTCATTATTTTACTACCTTAAAATAATATTTAAGGTACCATCATGTCGTTCCAGTTCTTCTACTCTGTGTTTAGTCACTCATGTCTGTGAGCCAGATGTTTCTGCTTCTGCATTTTGTTACAATCGGAAAATGTATTAAACAGTTTTGTATAGCAGCTCTTCGGCCTGCTTAATATAAAGGATCATTTTTGCGCAGCTGCCAGCTTGCCTAATTTAGCTCACTAAATATTCACAAAGGAGCTGATGCAGATCTCCATTTCTCTCAATTAATTGTGACATCATATAATAGCTCTTTGCATACACTTTGCAGCTCAGAAGAAGTATTGTCTCCAAATGCTGATTATGGGATAGGCAGAGTTACATTTATTAATAGAGCCTGACCCGATACATTGAGAGCGATATTATTATTACACTGATTATCTTTGGAGGCTAGTAGCACGAAATTGGAGTATTCCAAAGATATAATTGGGGTCATTTCAAAACAGTGTCACCATTACATGTTTATTTTTGTCACACATCTCACTCGGAACAGATTTTGATTTCCAAATGAAAAGTTGGGCATGCTTTTTAAATTACAGTACAAGAATCTTGCTTCTGTTTGGTTTTCCTTCTTTGGAAGCTCAGCGGGGTTCACAAAGCTTTGATTAATACTTAAAAATGTGAGTTTGCTTCTCTGGACACTTTTTCACAGAGTTCTAAAAAGTAAAGTTTATTTATTGATGTCAAGTTTGATCAGCTTTCTATTTGGGTTTTAGCAACGAGAGGTTGCACTGGAGTACTGCAGAAAATTAGGCCTTTAGTATACTTTCCAGTGTTCTAGATATATGTATAGAAAGTCCGTCGGGGAAAGATGCAGAAGCAAAATATGTGGGTTGAATGTTACCAGAAGACTTTGGATGAAGTATAAAAACTCCAATCCAATACACAAGTACTTCTGCATAGATTCCAACATTTACAATAGGAATGCCTTGATGTTAGGAAGTCCTTCACCTTAAACCATCTTTAATTGCCCGTCCCTCAGCACCACGCCAGTGAATACTTTATAATTATTTTTAAGCTGTGTTTGGTGATTTGCAAGGAGTTTTGTTAGGTTAGGAAATCGCCAGAGTTGTCTTGATAGTCATGATTATATTAATAGACTTATTAGATTAAATGGTGTAATTTTGAGTGTGGATAAGGAAACAAACAATAGTCTTTTGTGAGAAAGCCCAAGTTCTTGCAACCCTGGGCACTGCCTTCTGTTTCCTTAAACAGACTGTTTTTATGGTGTTGCAATTACAGGTTGTAATAAACTGCTTTTACAGAGAGACGTTTTGTTTCTGATTGAGTGTTACAAGGTTGAAAAAGCATGCAGTTCATCATTTGTTTAGTTTAAGAAATCAGTTATAAAAATCATTGATAGAGAAAAAGGCCTCAGGAGTTTCTGAATCATCACCCTTCGTTCATTTACCACATGAACCTAGTTTAAACACAAATGTGGAATTTAAACATTTGTATTCAAAAATATATACAGTGACCACCCTGTTAAAAAAAAAACCCTCAAAAACACTTGCTTAAAACTAAAAGTACTGGATTACTGAAAATTCAACCACCAAAACTATTTTTTTTTATTTACTATTTTTTTCTCACAGTAAATTTGAAAAAAACAAAAACAAAACATAGATAGCAACAATAATTATTTTTTTTGATTGAAGAGCTGGTGCATACCGGTGGATTCGCCATTACAGAAACATAAAGAAAGATTTTGGTAGTTGGCAGTACCATATTAGAGCAGCTGTGACATAAACCTTACACTGGGTGGTGATCTAATAAATTTGTTAAGCACTGTATAAACCGATTCCAAATTGGCACAAGGTAATGCAAGGTCATAATAGCGCATGGATTGGCGCCAGATGAAAAGGATAGCCCTTGGCTAGTTGTGTTCTTGTTTCTTTCCGTCTACCTTATGTTACACCATTCTTATTAAACTTTTAACCAAATGCTGCAGGCTATGTTTGCAGCATTCTGGACTCATCATGTCATATCCAAGAGAGTATTGTACCTTATTGCATTGTATTTACTGTGCATTAACGTAGTAGCACTTGTTTTAAAATATTATATGTTATAATAACCTGGAATTACACAAATTGTTGTCAGTGATGTTATTGTGCTTACTTTCTTTTCTTTTTTTGTCTGTTTTTTTTTTTTCAGGCATGGGAGTCTAACTCAATGAGTCTTATTCATCCACGTAAATCTCTCTTTGTCCGAAGGCACGAGCATTTTTTTTGTCTGTCAACCTCAGATGGGTTGTAAATGCAATGACACGGTGCCTACTTTGTTCTGAATCCCTGTTTTCTCCCTCGATCCTTTCATTTATCCGCACTCCCTCTCTCCACCTTGTGCTCATGTAGATTAGAGTTGGCATTTGGCTTCTGGAAATCCCAGGTGCAGCAAGCACAAGTGCACTTCTCCAATTGTCCTTTGTCTTTTGACAGAGCACAGCGCTAAGACGTTCCCAAGTCGAGGCCAACATAAGGTTAACAGAATGCTGATTTGATCCTAGTCACCGAGGAACTCTAAGCTAGCTTGGCTCGACTCGCCCGCAATCACATTTTTGCAAATCTAAATCTCAAAAACCAGGTTTTGTCTTGCTTAGCAGAGCCAAACAAGGAGTTTTTGGAAGCGTTGCCTTTTCCTCTTAGCTCAACATCCAGGGAAATGTGCTTTAATAGCCTGCAGCCTCTTTGGGTGTCTTTCCACACTTAGGATTTGATTGGCAGCCCAGGGGCTCAGGCAGTATTACCATAGTTATCTCACTGCACCACATTCCTAACAGCACTCACAGCCACAGGAGCTGTCTGTCACGCCTCTTAACTTGCAACCTATAGAGTTCACTCATAAAAGGGATAAACATGCAAACAGTGGCTATACGGGTTTTACAAAAATCTTTAAGCAGCTAGGTGATCTCAATCAAAACTGGAGGTGCTACAGGCAAGCTATGGTTAAACTGCAGAGAAGAATATAGTAGTTTTATGCTATGTCACAGTTTCACATTGATAACATCGCTGTTTTCTCTTACTGCCCTAAAAAGGGCGCAGGTTAGTTTTGAAATGTTTAAAGAAAGGAACGAGAAGGTGTTTCTTAGGTAACTTTTCTTGTCATGCTTGTGGCTTAATCTTTCTACCGTGGTGAAGAGCAGCAGTAATACTTGTGTGCAGCTACTTCTTTGATTGAAGTCAGTTCTCTCTTAAATAAATTAAGAATAGTTTCCAGAAGTGCGTCTTTATGTTTTATTCCTGTACCGACCTCTAATGTGCATCATTACTAATGCAGGTTTTTAATAGTCTCACACAGTCTTGTCCACTTTGAGCAGATATAAGACCAAAAAAGTCAGATATGCATGTAAGGCTAATGAGTGTCCCCCTCTGTGTCTGCCTTAGAATCTCATGGGATGGATCTGTTTGCAGTCGCAGTCCATGAGTTCGGTCATGCCATCGGCCTGGTGCACACATCAGCCATAGAGTCTATCATGAGACCATACTACCAGGGTCCCGTGGGAGACCCGCTGAAATATGATCTACCCTATGAAGACAAAGTCAGAGTCTGGCAGCTCTACGGTATGAGGTTTCCATTCCCTCTGCATATCGGTGTGTGTGTGTGACTGAAACAGAAAGGGATTGACAAGTTGTGTAGAGTACTGTTATTGATTAATGAAAACGTGGCTGGAGTTAATTGGACCTCTTTATGGCATATGACCTTATCACACCATTCCCTGATATACAGAGTATCAGTGAGCTGAGGAGACTAATGATCATGAGCTGAGAATGAAGTGCAGGAAAGAATGTTAAAGGACGGGACAGAATGGAGGAGAATGAATTGAACTAAATTAAAGATAGACAGACACTAAGACAAGACTGCTATATTTGGATATAATAAAAGAAACACATACAAAAGATGAACAACTGAGCAAGCAATTTTTAAAAATGTGCAAAATGTTCAATTCTTTCTGGAAATTGATGATTTTTATGTGACAATATAAGTCATCTTTTTTTTTTCCTACATGAAGGAATAAAACAATGTAATGTTTTGCCACGTTTTGTTTTTCCTCTTCAAATGAAATCACACGTATCCCTCTCAGGTGTCAGAGACTCAGTTTCCCATACAAATCGACCAGCAAACCCCTCCCAGACAGCTGAACCTCCTGTTCTACTGGACCTCCCCGAAAACAGATCCACACTCCTGTAAGTAGGACACCTGGTGTACTTTCAACACAGTGCAAATAATTTAATGATTCTGGTAGCCTAACACATAAATGATACACTTCAACCTTTCATCTTCTCTCTTTCTGCTTTTCTGGCCTTCTCAAACACACACACAAACGCAAAATTGTGGTTTATTCTTTTTACAAGCCCCTTTGGGTCTTTCTGTTCACTGCACTAAAGATGTTGGAGTGGAAAGTGTAATAAACGTCCCCAATAGATTCAACCAGAAAAGCAAAACTAAGTAAAAACAGCCGCTTGCTACCTCCAAAAGCTGTTTCTCACAGCCCTGCCAATTTAGTGCGTTCAACAGCACAACATATCATGTTCCAGATGTGGTCATTATATTGCATATTATTCTTATTGCATAATAAATTGCACATTATTTAACCATTTAAACTAATGCTATAGTCCATAATAAAGAATAAATGTTTTAATTGTTAGCCCTTTTAGCTAAATTTTACGTTTCATGCTATATTGAAAGCCGCCTGCTACCCGCTGCTTCTTGACCTCCATGCATACACACAATTTAAAAGCCTTTTAAAACCAAGGCAGAATAGAAGCCCATTTTCCATCAGTAGTATTGGCCTTTCACTGTCCTCATCACTCACTTTTCACCCACTCCATGTTATCATGATGCGTGGAAAAGCTATATCACGCTTGCCAAGGGTCACAAATGCTGACCACTAGGCAGCAGAGTTTCATTAAAAGAGCTCTGAATAGAGATCTTTGTTGATAACAGGAGAGCTCTCGCCCTCCCACTCACAGTGGCAGGGCTGTAGTGCTATTGCCTTGATAATTGGCAGGCTGACCACGTCAGTGCTTTAAATCACTTATTAGCTTGTGGGATAAATGTCCTGAAAGACCGCACCGTTTCAGTATGACAGCATTTCACCTCATATTTAGCCCATTTAATTAAAGGACATAACATGCACATTTGTGCACACATTAAGAACATTTCTCATTAGATGAGTACAATCGTGACATTTTTCTATATGCAAACAGCTGCAACTCGGTTGGATCGTTTTGGGTTCCTTTATGTTTTATGTCTAGTGGGTATGCAGCATAGTAGCGAATATGATTGTAATTGTAGTAACTTCTTTGCTTTTTGAAAATACTACAACCTTTTCCATCTTTTGTCTTCATTTCTTTTTTCTGCTTCTTATTTTTTCACTCAGACTGGCACGGGATGCTCCAGACAGATGCACCAGTCACTTTGATGCTGTGGCCCAAATACGAGGGGAGGCCTTCTTTTTCAAAGGTATTCAAATCTGAAAGGAGAAAGTCAGAGTGTGTGTGTGTGTGTGT